GTTTAGGGTTTAAGGTTTAGGTTATCACTAAGTGGAGACCATACCATGGTGGATAAAAAGTGGAACTTCTAAGGGATATATAGGGGTACGTAGGGTTGTAACAGAGATGTGTCAGGTGTTACATGCGAATATTAATGGGGTAGGTAGGGACATTACAGGAAAATTACAAGGATATGCAGGGCCATTTCGGAATATTGCAGGGATCGTGCTTCGAATTTCCAGGCAAGAACACTCTTTTTTTGTTTTGTTTTGTTTTGCCTTTTTGTAAACTTTCTATAAACCTCATGAAAACTGTTCATATTCCCTCTATACACACTATAAGCTGCCATAAGCCCCTTGTAAAATAATACCCAGCCATCGTAAACCCTCTCGAAGCGCTTCTGTTATTTTTGAAGCCTATTATTAACCTTCTATATAAACGGTTTAGACACATGTTTCTAAACCCGCTACTAACACTATGAACGATTTACAAACCTCTATAAACGTAATTTGAATCACAAGATGCAGGCCAACAGGTACAGCATGGCTAATAGGTAAATGATAGTCTATGTCATTGACCATTGGAGGGATCGGGGGAGAGCTGACGCAAACACAGGAAACGCAAGAGATGCTTATAGGGACAAAGCAGGACATAAGGAGGCTAATGTAACCCCATGCAGCAGGGTATAGGGTTTCTATTTAAGGTCTAGGGTTCGAGGTTAAGAATGGTAGGTCTAGTGGTCTGAGGGTTTAAGACTTTTGCAACCAAGGGTGTTTGGGAGTGTGGGATGTTGTTGATGCTTGAGTGAGTGTTGTTGAGGTGTCTGAACAGGAACTTCTTTAAGCGGTATCGGGTGCAGGTATGCATAAAGAAGTGAAAAATAATGTAGACTCCTGATTCATAAGCCCTTCCCCTTCGTAGAGATTACAACAGGATCCTCATGTTAAGGCCGTGCAGAGGAGGGGGTCTATTCATCATGGGTCAATATCATTCAACAAATTTCAACAACAACCCCATTTCCTTTCCATTATCCTTATATAACCCCTATATAACCGCTAGATACCCCTAAATAGTAGTTTCCATATTCGGAGCACATCTGAGCTTTGGACATTCCTGGCCCTTGCTGGAGACTTTGCAGGTATTTTGGCATTGAATACTCGGCACTGCAATGAAAGTTCTTTTCCCCCTAACCCTCTTTTGAGGGGCGTAGTCTTTGTAGGGGCATTTCTTGGGTGCGATGTTAAAGTCTATAGGAAATATACATAGCGGGTTGAATTGTGTGAGAACCAACACTCCAATGAGTTCCTGTGTGGTGCGGTCGGGGCTACGGGAGGCAATGCCACTGGGAGGTGCACAACACGCAGTGCATGATTAGTATCCACCCTTCTTGCGGGGGGCTTCTAGAATGAGGGCCCTATCATTTTTGAGCATGGAGAGCCTTAATTTTGAAAAAGGTCAAGTTTCTCATTGCTTCGTTGGGTTTAGTGTTGGGCGAGAGAGTGACACTCCACTTCTTGTTTTGCTTTTTCATGTGCAATCAGTATTGTCCTGATTGGCCATGAAAGTAGTACCAATTGGGATACGAGCCTCAGAGATCAAGGACTTTGCAGGAATCGTTTCTTCCCAAGTCTCTTTTTACAAAGATTCTAGGTTTTTTTGCGAGGGCGTGGCGGAGAGCGCCATTCCATGTTAGACATAGACTGACTAGTACCGGTTCTCATGTTTGTCTCACGTATTGTTGCTATTCCTAATGCTGTATATTCCAATGTTGACAACTAGCAGTTTCTAGCATTGTTGTCACAGAGATGGTAACGCTAAGCCGGGATGCTTTCGAGACACTACTGGTCATAGCAAAACAGACTACATGAGTGAGCTGTGTTGCTGCCCATCCAGGTCAGAGGGTCAGCCTCTGTGCAAAATGGTGTCCGCTGCTCTATCACTCCTTCGACCGCCGAACGTTGCTCTGTGAGAGCGTTGCCCGATGGCTCTTCCCTTCAAGCTCGCCAGAGTTTGCTGACTGCACTGAGAGGCAGTATGCCTACAGGGCCCGTGATCTGTTGCGGAAGCAGCTGTCCGAACTTGGCGAGTACATGAAGCTGCCGGAGCGGCTCATGTGCCAACAGCGTTGGGGAGAGATTCAGTACAAAGCGCTCCCTGCCGCCTGCCTCACCAAGCATGCCAAGAGCTTTGAGAAGCACGACCCCGTCCGCTTCCGCGAGTTCATGGACAAGGTCGAGTGTGGCAAGGTTCGGGTGAACACGGGTGCCCTGCAGCCGCATGAGATCCTGAAACGGACATCAGGCTGCGGTACGGATGCTGAAAAGGCCTTAGCACAGGGACAGTGGCGGGCCATGTTGGAGCGCATCCGAGAAGCTGGCCAGCTGCAAGATTGCATCGCTGTCTGTGACGTCTCCGGCTCCATGTCTTGCGAGGCTGCTCCTGGTGTCAGTTGCATGGATGTGGCCATCGCCATGTCCCTGCTGGTCGCAGAGCTTGCCTCGGGGCCTGTGGCTCGGCAGGTCATCACGTTCCACGAGTCGCCGACCATGGCGACACTGCCCAACACATCGGACCTCGCCGAGCTGGCCGACTTTGTAAGGCGGCTGAAGTGGGGCGGAAGCACCAACTTTTATAAGGTCTTCCAGCTGCTATTGCAGAAAGAGGCATCGCCGAAGAAGATCCTCGTGTTCTCCGACATGCAGTTTGCCCCTGCTGGCGGTAACACCACCGTCTTGCGTCAAATTCAGGAGAACTATCGAAGGGCAGGCCGGGCTATGCCCGAGCTGGTGTTCTGGAATCTGCGGGGAACCTCTGGTGCGCCTGCGCTAGCCACGGATGAGGGCGTTGTGCTCATCTCTGGCTTCTCATCCCGTATGTTGAAGTTGGTCACGGAGTCCGGGCCTGATCCACTGGCAGCCCTTAGCCAGGCGCTGGACAACCCGCTCTGTGCCAAGGGTCGGGTCATCCAGGACCCTGCTGAGGTGCGGCAGTTAATGGCTGGCCCTTGGCAAGCAGTACATACTTTTGCTGCCGAGGTCGAGGCTTCAGATGCTCAGCCCGATCAGGTTGCAGAGCATGATGTGCCGGCTCCGGCCAGAAAGCAGCCGAGCACCCCAAGGACCCTCACAACTCAGCTGGCCACACTGCCGTGCCGCGTTGCTGAGGCGGCGCTTGTTGGCAAGGGCGGCCAAAAAATCCAGCAGCTGAGGCAGTTGCTGCATGACCGCCTTTGCCATGAGCTGGATGCTGGCCGCTTCCGCTTCTGGCTCGACGTGCGGGACTGTAGTTTGCTGGCCACAGTGGAGGCAGCCAAGACTTCTTTTGGGGAACAGCAGCTTCACGACGCTCTTGCTCAGCTGAAGGCTCACATTCCGCGCAGCGTGGTCTACAACAAGGTCCGCCACGTGCTGGGGATTGACGGCCTCCTGGCGCCACGTCATGCCTCTTCCGTGCTAGCATCGCTGCCAACTCAACGGGCGCTTCTTGCATTCCTTGGCCGGAAGGGTTTGAAGATTCAGGCCTTGCAAGCAGAGCTCCAGAGCCTCCTGGATGCGCAGTTGCCTGCAGGCTCCTTTTCCTTCTGCTTGGATGTTCAGCTCAGGGGTGTAAGCTGGGAGGTCGCAACCACTTTGGAGGTCCATGCTACTTGGTCCTGCTTAGTCGGGAATGAGGGAAGATGGATGGTAGGGACGAGTACAGGTATTATTCCGGGGGATTCTCCACCTCCAAACCATAAAGCATTATAACATCTGAATTAAGCCCGCAACCCTAAACCGAGCCGGAACCCTAAATCCAAAGCCCTTACTTGGAGGGTCAGGGGGACTTAGTAAGTAGGTGAATAACCCCTATAACTCATATAGTACTGTACTCCTAGCTATCACCAAATTAACCGACTTACTAAGATCCCCTGACCCCCCAAGTAGCCTTAAAACCAAGAGTAAGGATGATGCTCTCACGAACGCACAGCTCGCGACCGCCCTCGAAAGGCTCAAGGCCCACGTCCGCGGAAGCTCGATTTATACCGAGGCCTGCCGGGTGCAGCCGGCCGCGAAACGGCATCTTGCCGGTAGTATGGTCATATAAAATATATACTATGTAATATATTAGATATAATGATACATAATTTGCGTGCTGCTACAGTCCTCCATACCCTGCTAAGAAATAGTAAGGCGCCGCAGCAATGGCTTCGTCATCCAGTTCACCAAGGACACAGGAGTTTCCAAAAACCGACGCCTAAACCCTAAACTGACTGAGCCTCTTAAAGCCTAGCATCCCTAAACTCCCTACACCCTCAACTTGCTACACTCCCTAAACTCCCCAAGCTCCCGAAACCCTAAGCCTTGAGCTTTTTGTTTTGCATCAGCTCTTTGATGCTCCCCTCAACTTGAATTTTGACTCCTGTAGTACCAGCTACGAGTAGGAGGCTTGCAACAGCAGCACTGGAACCTTGAATTTTTCTGGAGTTTAAGCCCCAGGCCCTCAATCCCAAGCCTTGAACCCGAGCCCTAAGCCCTAAACTTTCAAAGCCTACTTCCTGAGCTTTAAGCTCTCTAGAACTGTTCTAAGCCCTGTAAAAGCTACTTTCTCTATTACCTCCCCCAAAACCCTAAACCTTCAATCCTAAAACCTAAATCCTCAATCCAAAACACCAAATCCTAAACCCCAAACGCTAAAACTTGTCTACAAACTCTCAGCTCACCACAGGATGATCGTGGAGAAGCAGCGAGGCTTGGTGCCGAACTTGCAGCGGCTAAGAAGGCCCAAGTCCTTGAGGTGCGAAGCAGCTTAGGGTTTAGGGTTTCGGGTTTAGGGTTTAGGGCTCAGGGTTTAGCGCTTAGGGCTTAGGGTTTAGACAGGAATAATGGACAAGAACGTGGAAGCTATTATTTAGGGTTTGGTTATCTGGGAATGAGGCAATGGAAAAGAACGTGGAAATTACTATACTGGTTTATATAAATATAGGGACTACAATGAAGATCCATTCCTTCCTTCCTGGCTAGCCAAAGGCCAGTTAAGGGGTTTGTGGAAAAGGGGGACTTGTAAGGATAAACAGGGCTTAGGTATAGAGTGCAAAGGATTCAGGGTTCAATGATTTAAGGGTTTCGCAGCTTGAGGGTTTAGGGCTTAAGGCTTTCAGGGTTCAAGCGTTTGAAGCCCAGGGATTGGGACTTTTGGGCTTACAGTGTACTCGAGGTGCGAAGTGGCTTAGCTTGTACCAGACCGATAATAGAGGCGGACAATCGCATCAATCGCATTGGATGCTGATTTTCTGGTGAATTTTTCGGGGGAAAGGACTTTAAGGCGTGATTGAGGATCTTTTTCGGCGCGCAGGATGTTCACGGTAGATTATTCCCACAAAATTCCCTAATCCTAAACTGCAAGCAAGGTGGCAAGGGCACGGAAGCAGAGGGCGCTCTTCAAGCTCCGGAGAGCCATCCGAGCGAGAGCTGCTCAAGTGAATGGGAGGTTCGACACTCCAAACCCTGAAAGCCTGAAACAAAACGAACCCGCAGTGCTCAAAAGAAAGAAAAAAATTGAATCCTAACTCCGCACCCCAGCTGCATCATGGACTGTTGACAAGTGAATGGCAGGTCCAAGGCCAAAATGGCTTCGAGGGGGAAGAAGATGGCAAGGACTCACAAAGTCTTTGCGGACAGCCTTTTTGACTTCTAGAGGGTAGCTGATCACTTCCTGATGCGTTTTTGGTTCCTGCCTCGGCAGTAGCTGCAGCCCCAGACTTGAATACAGAAGGTACAGTGTACAGTGATTTGGGGAGCAGCGGCCTTGGTGCAAGTTGTCTTGGAAAGGATTATCATCATCAGACTTAGCAGACGATTGCTCAAAACGGCTTGAGGTGGTGATTCCACAGCATGAGGGGTCCCAAGAGATTTGGTAGTTTCCCAAAATAAGGGGAGCCGAACATAGACCCCAAAATATTCTAATCCTTATTATTGGGACCCCTAAAAAGGTACCCCTAATTTTGGGAAACTCCCATTGTTCAGAAGCTGAGCAGCTCACATATGGACCCTTCAAAAATCTCCTTCCCCTTCGAAATTGCTCTTCAGCTCTTTCTGTGGTATAACCTCTAGGAACTATTGGAAACAATGCCTTTTATTCTATGTCTAAGGCAATTGCAGGAAAAAGTATTCAACAACTCGCCGGTCTGTCCATGTGAGTTTTGTGTGCTTGAGAATACTCTTCATTCAATCTTTCAAAGACAGATCCCTAAACCCTAAACCCTAAACCCCTAAACCCCTAAACCCTGAAAGGGTTTAGGATGTAGGGTTTAGGGTTTAGAGCTCAGGGATGCCTGATGACCCTTGGAGTTTTTTTTTTTTTTTTTGGAGGGGGGGGTACCATATATATAGATAGATAGATAGATAGATAGCTGTATTGGGTATACTGGGATTACGAAGGGTACTCCGTCTGTGAGAGTGGGACTGAAGTCTTAGGGTTTAAGGTTTAGGGTGTAGGGTGTTATGTTTAGGGCTTGGGGTTTAGGGTTAAAGATTTAGGTTTTAGGTTCTAAGGTTTAGGGTTTGAGGTTTCTGGGCGAGCGGTTGCAGTAGGATCTAGGGTTATGGGGATTGGTAGGGTTACAGGAGGGATCCCGAGTCAAGGGTACTTTAGCCTTCAGGGTTTTGGGTGGACGGTTTCGGGCAAGGATTTCTATAAGGCCAGGGGTGCCATGAAACGGTGGAGAGAAAACCTGTGTGTCTTAGGGGCTTAGACGTCCACTCCATTTCATGAGTACTTTAAGGAGGGTCAGCTTAAGTTCTGGCTGCTTATGACTTATAGCCGCCCTTGTAATGATCCACATTTTTCCACTTCCAAAAATTCCGAAACGGATTCATTCGGAAGGCATGCGAGTAGTCTGCAGGAATCCGTCAAACAGCTTTAGGCACAATGTTACAAGGTCTTGTAGCGATCCTCCTCAGCGCCTTAGGCCTCCGGGCTTCAAAGGGCTTGTAGAGCTTGTAATGGAGAATCAAATGAAAAAGAAAATGGACCATGAAATGGAACCTGGGATTATAGGGTTTATGGGGGGGAATAGTAGGGTTATATTTTGAATGCTTGGTTGGGCTGATGCCAGTTTTCTCAGGTGTCATGGAAGCCCGGCACGCGATCTTATCCGTTCGCACTGGATCTTGATGCAAAACTACTTGACACATGGAAGTTTCCCTAAATTAGGGTACCCCAATATCTATAGTCCTTAGTATAAGGAACCCCAAGAAAGGTACCCCCAATTTTGGGAAACCCCCACATTGACTACTCCGCAATGTCGAAAGAGTGTGGAAAATCACTTCAGGGATACGCTAACGCACAGCGCTGGCACCCACAAGACCCCTAAATGACCCTAACACCCTAAAAGCCCTAGCCCTAACCCCTAAGCTCTACAACCCTAAAACCCCCAAACCCCGAGGTTGGTATCGACCTCGGGACCTCCTGCTGCAGAATAGGGCTATGGCGCGATGGTGATGTCCTCATCGTCCCCAATGAAACTTGATTTAGGGTTTAGCGGTTTAGGGTTACCTGGACCCCAAAGGTAGTAAAATAATAGCCCAAAACACCTAAAAATAGCCCCAAAGGCAATTATTCTACATACTCTGGGGGTTCAGGTAAGGATTTGGGATTTAGGGTTTAATGTTTAGGGTTCAGGGTTCAGGGTTTGGGCTTCAGGGCTTGAGCTTAAGAGTTTGCTTGAGGTGCGTAGCTTAAGGGTCTGAGGTTTAGGGTTTTACGTGCAGGTCTTCAGGTTTACGGCTTCAGCAGGAAAAATCCTCTAGCGAGAAATGCCCACTTCGTTGAAGACCGAAGTTTTGAAGGCCATAGACCCTTGAACCCAAATCCTAAAACCTTTTCTGTCATCCTAACAGCAGCCCTTGTAATCTGCGCAGAGTGTCCTTAGATGCCTAAGGGGCCGCATTCAGGGCTTAGGGTTCAGGGGGTGTCAAGAAACTGATAGGAAGAGAAGGTGCCATGAACCTCAACTCCTGATCACCAAGGGTTTAGGGTTTAAACCCTGAACCCTAAATCCTAAACCCGGAACCCTAAATCCTAAACCTTGGACCCTACACCCTAAGTCCTAACCCCTAGATCCTAAATCTTAAGCCCTAGAATAAGCATGGCTGATTCGAGGAAAGGGGATGCCTCGCGACGCCGCCGCTGCGCCAATTTTGGGATTGTTTCGGGCTTAGGGTTTAGGGATTAAGGGTTTAGGGCTTAGCGTTTGTGGTTTAGGGTTTAGTAAAGGTCCAGGGCTGGGTCTAGGGTTCAGGGTTCAGGGTTCCCTCAGGGTGTAGGGCATAAACCCTAAACCCTATACGTTTAGGGTTTGGGTTGAGGGCATAAAAATTTTGAGTTCAGGGTTTGGGGCTTAGGGATTTAACTTTGGTTTTAGGGTTTTGTAGTGGCCTCACCTAACATCATTATCAACCTACTTACTTGGCACTGCTCTCCAACGGCCCTGAAGCCTTCAAACACAGACCTTAAGCACTAAATCGTTATCTGGTTTAGGGTTGAGGGTTTTGGATTTAGTGCTTAGGGTTTAGGGTATCCCCACCGAATCTTACTATTAGCCTGCTTCATGGGCCCCCCACATCCTCCAAGTGAACCCTAAACTTAACCCCAAAATCCCAAACCTAAATCATACACCAATTCATAACTAGCGGACCTCGTCCGTAGGGGGAGTCACAGGGACCACAAAGGATTTTGGCTGCTCTAAACCCAAAAAAACATAAAACCCCATACCCCGCCTGTTAGGGCTTGACCCTAAACCCTAAACCCCATACCCCACGCAATTAGGGCTTGGGCTTTGTCTATACATTGTTCGTCGGGCCTGGAGGGTTGCATCCGAGGTCTTAGGAGGGGTCTATGGTTTTGGGGTTAGGGCCCCAAGATATAGCCTGAGCCCCTTATCTCCCAAATAGCCCCAGCCGGAAAGAGTTGCGCCCTGACACCACGCCCTATATATCCCTAAACCTTAAACCACCCTGAAATCTCTGAACGTTGATTCAGCCAAGGAATTGCATCGGCTTTTTAGACTGCACAGGCACCACGGTTCAAGGGGTTCGGGTTGAATTGATGGTTTCCCAAAATTAGGGGTACCCTTTTGGGGCTCCTATAACAAGGATTCTGGTATTTTGGGGTTTATATTGGGGTCCCCTTCTTTGGGAAATTTCTGATTGGCTGCGGATCCTCCCAGAAGCACCCTTTTCAGCATGCAGCGCTTAGGGTATTAGGATGCAGGGTTCAGCGGTTGGGCTTGGTTCAGGGTTTAGGGTTTCCGTAGAACACTTGGGAATTGACTTTCGCGGGAGTGATGGCTGGGTGCTTCCAGGGGCAAGCGGTGACTCAAATGGGGATATGGAATACACTAGAAGCGTGGGTACTTCCCAATAGCATGGTCCCAGATTGCTTGCATAGTTCTCATAAAGGGCACGTACAATAGACTTGAAGATGATGCTGGTAAACCCTACACCCTAGCCCCTAGAGTGCGGAACATTCCAAGGAGGGAGTATCCTAACAGAAGAGGTGGCTGTGGGGCCTGCGTTTTTGACATAGGACATTTATCTAAAATTTAGCTATTTATGGTTATAGCGTAAGACTGGTTAACTGTATATGGTTCTA